TGTGTGTGTGTGTGTGTGTGTGTGTGTGTGTGTGTGTGTGTGTGTGTGTGTGTGTGTGTGTGTGTGTGTGTGTGTGTGTGTGTGAGAAGGAACTCACCAGGTACCTTCCCGGTGATGAGCACGGAGTCTTCATACAGCCAGATGTTCCCCTGGCTGTGAGGCAGCAGCAGCAACGTGACAGAGGAGAAAACTGCCAGAGAACAAAGAGAAAGATCAGGAGCCAATCACAAGTACAGAAGAACAACAACGATCTGTCAGGTTTTCATGACCTATAACATCTGCTGGTGTGTTTGTTTGTTGGTTTGGTAGCTTGTAGAGCTACAAATCCAACAGCAGAGGGCGTCCAAACATTGGAGCACAGCAGAGTTCAGCTGTCTGGCTCAGCACCACAAAAGGGAGGCGTCTCTGCTAATGCAACTGTTCCCCCCACCCTTCCTGCATTTTCTCCTCCATAACACCTGCTCCCCACTTCCCTTTGAATCACCACCTGCTCCCTTGCCCCTTCTCCACACTAAGGCCAGCAGAATAAAAACATCCCCACCACCCCCCTGCTCTGGCAGGACAAAGACACTTTGCTGAGACAAGCATAGGTCTCATGCCGGCCTGAGGCAGACACCTCGACTCCAAGAGCGATCGATGAGGCGAGCACAGGACGCCACGCTCAGTTACACTCGACTGGGAACATAAATCGCCTCATCGTGGACAAACCTCAGAGACAAGTTGTGTGTTGTCGCTGACACTTCATTAATCTATAATGACAATGAATAATGCAGGCAAGTGTGTTTGTGTGTGTCTGAGTGTGTGGGAACTGTGCTAGCAATACTGTAAGCTCCACAGTCTTGTTTTTGGGTTTTTTACGTCACCTTTTAAAAAATTATTTACTGGTTTGGTCATTTTTAGGTTGGCAGTGAGCCCACTTTCTGAATTCTGTCTCTAAAGCACTTTAGACCAATAACAATACTCACCAATACCAGTACCGATATACCAGTATTGGTATTGGTAATATCTGCCCTGTATTTACTTGGTAATTGAAAATTAAAATTATTTAATAAAATTCAGTGGGCTACATACTGAACTTTGAGGATAGAAATAAAGTATTGATCCAGTATTGATATCAGTAATTGTTTCGATCTGCCCACCTCTGCTGGTTACTCACTTGGTCTCTTATTGGTGCTCCAGGGGAGCAGGCTGGGCACGTAGCCTCCCATGCTGCCCAGCAGGGTCAGACCGAGGCCCGGGCTGTACGGCACCCAGAGCAGAACCTCCCCCATCTCCCCGGTCTGGGCAGAAGTCCTCAAGGTGTGGTTGACGTAGACGTCCACCGAAGCCCCCGACAGGGGCTGGCGGGTCACCAGATCTCTCACCAGGACCTTCAGGGCAAACTGAGGCTCTGCAAAGAAGATGCCAGAGGAAAAAGAGGAGATCTGGGTTGCACGTGTCCCTCCTGCGTGCTCCGTAACCTTTCTCTCGCCATGAAAAAGTGATGAGGCGAGCACTTCTGCGGGGAGGGTGGAAAAATACATCCAGGAACCGAACGACAGCACAGAAGAGATGCAGTCTGACTTTTAAATACGAGCTTCCAGATAAACAATGCACTGTTTGCTGTTATTGACGGACACACACACACAGCCTCAGCTGTCCTTTGTGTGTTCACTAGGGACAGGATGTAAACACAGACTTTACTTACTGTATCAGCAGAGCAGCACAGGATTACCACACTCCCCTCCCTCCCTGTCTCCCATTAAGACATCACCTGCTCAGGCCAAAAAGATAAAAGCCTAATCCTCCACACCTCCATATTCCTCCTATTAATCCTATTACACTGGACTGTCTGATTCCAGTCCAGCAGTGTATCAGTGCGCTCCTGATTTCCTAATTTATTGCAGAAAGCCCCCTTTATTAACGCACCTGCACCATCAGTCATGCCCCACTGTTTCCTCTGCAGCTGATTTCCATTTTCAGTAACAATGACATCCCCCTCCTCCATCCTCCACCCCCCTCCATCCTCCAGCAAACACCCCCTTCCTCTTTGTTTATGTTTACCTGCTGATAGAGCCGAGAGGGTGGCGGCTCGGCTAGAGGCGGCGGTGTAGGTGCCGGACGGGTCTCCGGCCCCGGCCGTGAGGCCGCCGCCCTCCTCCAGTGCCGCTGCTGCCCTCGCCGCCCCATCCAGGCAGGAGATCAGCAGCAGCGACGGCAAGAAGAGGAGCAGCGGCGGTGGGTGGCGTTCAGCGGCGGGCATGGCGAGAGGGGGAGCAGGCTCAAAGACATAACGGACCGCGAGGAATCGAGCTCTGGAGCGGGGAGCGCGATCACCGAGGCCTCGTCCCTCCCTCCCTCCGTCTGTGTGTCTGTCAGGGTTCCTGTGATGCTGGTGCCGAAAGAAGGAGGAGGCACCCCGCGGAGAGGAGATGCGCTGGTGCTGAGGCTGGGCGTGTGGGGCGGAAGATCGTCTATATAAACCGCGATGTCTCACTCTGTTAGAGGAATGCGTGCAGTAATCGAGATTAAGCAAAATGAGGGCGTGTATCAGTAAACATACCTGGAGCAGAAGCACTGCCGCTGTTTTCTAACGTTTCATGGATGTTACTGTTTGACAAGAGTCTCTACTGTCCGCGGGAAAAGTGTCAGAGTGAGCGCTCCTCTCTCTGCGTCATCTCTGATGAGACCCAACATGCTGTTACATCATCGGGGTCTGCGCGGCCCTCTGTCGGTAAACTGGGGACTCAACACTTCGGATCATACAGGGAATTCTTTATACTTTGTACATCTTTAAATAAATCACGTTTTTAAACATACATGTAAATACAGTAAATAAGGCAAACTCTCTTAGGCAGCTTTCTTGTCATGTCTTGAAGTCGTCTTCAGGAATAGTTCTCCAGGCTTCTTGAAGGACATTCAAAGCTCTTCTTTGGGTGTTTCTACCTTTAGATGATTTTCATAATTTTCATACCTCAGCCTTTTCTCTCCGTTTCCCTTCCTTAAGAATGGCTTGTTGACAGCCACTGAGACCATTTCTGATGAGGAACAATAGATGATCAGCTGAAGGTCCAGATGAATCTATCAGGTCCTGTGTCAGATTCTTTACTCTTTCTATAAGGACATGACTTGTGTTCTTTTTTGTATTTTTCATAGATTCAAAGAAATTGGAACAAATGATGTGTTTTTGTTACAGGCTGCTTAAAAAGTGCCTAAAGATGTGTAGAAACAACACTGGCTCATCCCGTGACTTAGGAGCCTTTTTATGCTTGAGTGATAAGTGGCATAACAAAAACGACTGAAAATGAGTGAAAAAGCAGCAAATGCACAAATAAACACAGTAAAAGATCTTCAGAAAGCTGGAGAACTGCTCAAGAGCACTTTGAAAACTGACCAGAAAGTTGAACTCCTTGAAAGCAAAATATAAAGAAATGAGGGGAGGCTGATGAAATCAAAAGTTGAATTCAAATATAAGTGAAAATCTGAACCTGTGAACACCTGGGTGATGAATTTCCATGACTTTCTTGAAATATCATCAACAGTTCAATAATTTCTGTATTTCTCTTGTTATATTTGGGTCGTTTTTTTTTTTTTGCTTTTTTGCTTTTTAAATAAATTAAAGGCTGTTGCCTGTTTTTAATTCAAGTGTTTGCCGTGTTCCTTAGTGTTGGTAAGTCCTTCAACTGGGTGTAAGATCATAAAAATTATTATAGGAGTGAACCCACTGTCAGTATCACCCTGCACTGTAGTGGTCTTGATTCATTACTCCATGGCATCAGCCTCAGAAATCTGATGAGAAGCTCTCTCTGAAAGCTTGTCAGACTTTTCCTCAGAATGATGGGTTTCAAAAATGTAGGAGACACCTCAAAAATTCGAAACTTGTTAGATCTAATGTACGATCACTCAGGAATAAGACAGACGAACTGGCCCTGATGAGAAG